TAGCATATGGCAGATCTGCTCTACCACCTTATCCTGGTTTTACAAGATAAGAACCTACTACCTGCACAGGACCTGACAAATTATCCTTGAAGTACATGGGATCTCCCCATGATCCCCATGGGACATAGGCAGAGCTGGGCAAAGCTTGTTCCAAATTTCCCACATAGCTGCCTGGTACTTTGCAAGACTTCTGGCCACGTACCTGAAGACAGCTTGGTAAAGGGCTCTGCTGATACACTACAACATACAACTACACTCCTGTGGAGCCGCAGCTGATGATGTATTAAGCTGATTGTCTTTGATATGCAAATTCATCTAACACGTAGCAGCCAGGCAGTCTTACAGTCACTGCACTGCCTTGAGTTCTCCACTCTGCAGAGCAGACACCATCCCATTTAACCTCGCATGAGGAAGCATTTAGCTCTGAAGGTTCATTTACAGCTCAACAATTTTCTGAGCTAAATCCTGACATTTTACTCCTTCCCTAATCTTGCTCCCTAGGACACGTACAAACCCAGATAGTCTTTATCAGCTGGGGGTGTGGGAGGGCAGTTTTAGATGAAGATCTTATAACTGCATTGCTTTCTTCCGGAGAAATATAACAGCAGCAATTTAGAGAAATGAGAAAGCTAAGTGAAGTCCTTAAGAGTTCCCCTTAGTCACTTCAAAACTTTATTCCTAATCTCTTTGAGCTGCATCCTCTCTAGCTCAATCAACTGCTTGTTTAGGATTAGTCTTTTCCATCCCAATTACACACACACACACACACACGCGTCCATCACAGAATAAATTAAAATGCAGAATCCTTATAAAGAGCCATAACAATTTCAAGCTGTCTGGAATGGAAAGTAAAGGAATTAGTAGCATGATTAAGGGTGAATTCAGAAAGAGCATCTCCTAATGAATTCCTGCACTCCATAGCAGTGAGGGCCAAGCTCACCCTGCAGCACCACACAGCAAGGGGAGCACCTGGCTGGGACACAGCCATCATTAGCTCTACTGCAGTCACTAGCAGAGCCTCACTGGACCCAGGACAGGGAGTCACAGCTCTGCAGCCTCCTCAGGAACATACACTGGTGCTGCACTGAGAGACTCCCCAAACCAACTGACTCCACCTCCAGAGCTAGCAGCCAGCAAGGGCTGCAGGGAGGCAGTCAGGCACGTCCTGGGATCCCCTGGGAAACTCAGCAGTGCAAATAACTGCTTGGTTCAAGGGTTAAGAACAAAGAGCATGTTTCACAGGGCCAATCTATGAACATTTCAGAGAAGCAGGGGAACAACCTGGCATGTTGGGGCATGAAGCAGCCCAGGAGACTGCCAGAAACACTCCAAACCCTATTGCTTTTACTAATCCCAAGTCCTAACAAAGCACTTCAGCAGCTGCTGCTGACAACTGCCTTATAGAACAGGAAGGGATCCCTTGTTTTGGGAGTATGTACCTAAGTTGCAGAGGATGACCATAGCACAGCCAGGTCATTACAAAACACAGGGGTTAATGTCTGTGAAAAACAAGGCCCAAAGGGGATTCAGAAAACAGCACTGTTCCCATGTCCAGTGAGTGAATGCACCCCTGCAATGCTGCTGTGGGTGTTGTCTGTGCAGGCACTGCACTAAGGTAGGTATGTCTCATACCACCCATTGCAGCTTCGTAGAAGCAGCACTTGCTGCAGATACCATTCTTGGAATTTGTGATGCTGCAGAGCAGCACAATTTGGAGTGCACAGGACTGCAACCTGCCAGTTTCAAGTTAAGGCCAAAGCTAAGTTGTGAAAGCTGATTTCACCTCCTATGCCTTGCTCCAGTATTTGTATTTGTTCTAACAGCACCTTCCCCTTTTCACTGTGGACACAGAGTGCATGACTTTAATGTATCCAAGGTTCGGACTTATTTCACAGTACAGAACTGCTTTTCTACTTTTAGATCAAGGTGAAACATTCATGCAGAGGATGGACGGAGAGAACACAGAGAGGACGGAGGCAGCCACACAGCAAAACTCTCTCCACTGCCACGTGACTGCAGTCTGCCATCAGTGCTTCTGTGAGGGCAGGTAGGAGGGGAGGGAAGAGCTGCTGTGGTGTGAGGAGACCTGGGCATCTTTTGTATCGGTATATCAGGGCTACTCAGCTGCAGTTCAGCACTGCGCCGTTTGTGTCTGGGTACACCAACACTTTCAGGGGCTTTTTTCCTTTGGAGATCTTTATTATCTAGACTGAGACTACCCTAAGTGCAGCCTTACCTTCAATATCTTACAAACTGACATCTATAAAGAGACACCCTACTAACCTAACCACTGGGCACCTATGACCTGCCTTATAGTGTCAGAGTAATTCACGACCACTGCTTGTTTACACAGAGGAGTGTGTGTTATGTCTCTCCATGAACCATGGTTGTATGATACAAACAGGTGTAAGGCAGGCTCCCAGATTCCTCTGCAAGATGAGAACTCACTATCTTGACACTGATACCTCTGAGGGAAACAACTTTGTCCTAGGTTCACTGGAAGAGCAGAAGACCTTGAAAAATGATTATTATTTACTTTAATCCATGTGACTTTTCAGTGCATAGATTTCCCCTGCAAAGAAGTAGAAATTTATTAATAAACTGCAATATTTTCACAGAAGAAACAGGGAAGCAGGAA